ATCCCACATATCCCGTCTAGTATTGCATAAACTTGTTCCTTCTCCAGACTTCTTCATTTAGGTTCTTGATCATACCATTTCCCCAACTTCTGAGTCTGGAAATTCTCCAGTGATCTTCAACTACTACCTCATTGCACTATATTCACCCTTCCCCTGTGTAATCTTCCTTCCCTACTCTAATTACTCCTCCATCCACCCCTCTCCTATAAAAGAGCTCCTTGCCTCTTACCTGAGTCACCTAGAGCTCCTGACCTTTCTTTTCTCTCCTACCTTACCCATACCATGGCCAGGCAATTCTTCTTTCAGTATAGTGCTTACCTTGTATCAGAAGAACATGAGTCATGATGATGCCATGTGACCAAGAATGTTCTAGATAGTTTCTGCTTTGCCAGCCTGCATTCTTAGAGTGGTGATGAACAGCAGTGAATAACTCCTGCGAACAAGAAGTAGCTCTGTGTGGTTGCAAGCCCCTGAGATTTGGGTACTTATTACCACAGCATAATCTAACCTTTCCTGAAGATATAGTCTATCACCCAGAGTGCCCTGGAGTCTCAGAAGTAACACTTCACATGTGACAAGAGAATGTGTGTTGTTTTACAATGTTCAGCTAAAAAGACAGTTGATGAACTTTAGAATAACCCAGCATCATGAACTGCTACAAATGGGAGATTTAGACAAAGCTATTTGCTTTTCAGCTATTGCTTCAATTTTCAGAAAATTGCCCAAACCTTCTGCAAACCATTTGCATTTTTGTCAGCTTGGCAAAGGGAGTTGGCAGTATCAAATGGTCCCTTGATAAAAGTCACATCACTACTTATGTAGAGAGTATAACAAGTCAGAGAGAAAGAATATGTTACAAGAAGACTTCTTAGAATACTGGCAAGAAGAGGAGACAAAAGTGAACAGTCGGTTTGTAAATAAAGGGAAAAGAGACAATGTTGCCTTAGTGTCTTTGACTTTGTGACATTTTATTACATAATTGATTAAAATGACAAGCCCAGTTTTCTATAAGCCTGAAAGTGGGTACACACTGTGCTTAGGGAAAAGCCGTGCATATTAGCTCTGCACCTTAAAAAGAGTTCACAAACTAATCCTGAACAGCCTGTGTTCTGGGAATGTTTAATGCAAAATTCTTTCATTGAAGAAACTCAGAACACTTTGTAAATTAAAGTAGGAAAGTGTATGCAGCTCTGTAAGAAAAAAAAATCCAGGTTTGTTTGCTCTATTACTATTACCAAAGAATTTATCACTTTATTACCAAAGAAAGTTCAACTCAATTTCTTTAAACTGGGTATGCAGTGACAACATTTAACTTATGATTCCATTTCCAGAGCATTCCATTTTAACTCCTCTCCTGTATAAGTAGCTTATAAGGTTAGATTTTTTTTTTTCCAAAGAATTAAATATTCGAGTGTAGTGGCTGAAAAGCAGCACCCGTTTCCTCTAGTTCCCTCAAAATGCATATAGCTTCATGAAGAAGAAAAAAGTGAAGACCAGTGGTTAGTTTAGTGGCTTTAAAAAAAAAATGCAGCTTTTCTTACTTTGAATTTACCATAACCAAAAAGGCCACTGGGCTGCCATTAATTGTTCTAAGTTAAAGCAGAAAGAAGAAGGGTTGGAAGAAGGTTCAGTGGTTATCTGCTGCCAACCTTCACTTCACAGACAAGAAAAATGAGGTCAGGAAGACCACATTTTACCCAGGTTGACGTAACCAATGAATGCCAGACTACAATTAAAGTGCCACCTCTAGACTGACAGACCTGTACTCAAAGACTTATTCTGAAATATGAATGCAACAGGTAGCCAAATACCTGTAGACTGGAAGGAAGAACAGTTGGTCAGAAAGTGTGATTGGTTAAGACATTTGGACCTCAGTTGACCTCTTCAAATATCTTTCCTTACCTGTACAATGCATCTGAATATAGCCTGCCTTGCCACCAGGCAGATTTGGTTGGGAGATCAAATGAGATAAAGTCTATGAAACTTCTCTAAATGTTGAAGCACAATGTAATAATAATAATCTTGATTTGCTGAACACTTAGGGCATGCCAGGCATTGTGCTAAGCATCATTTCATTATCACAACATACTAGGCAGCAAAAAGTCACTACCCTCATTGTACATGGGAAAGTAAAACTTTGGTTAAACCATTCATCCAAGACCTCACGGATTTGAACCAGGTCTAGCTGGTCCTCATACCCAAGCATTTAATTATCAATAATACCACATAATAATAATACTATAATACCTTACTATAATATTGTATAGTAATATCATATATAGCATATATTACTATAGTATATTAGTATTCTACTATACTAACACTATGTTACTATGCTACTATAGTATATAGTGTACTTATTACATAATACATATTACTATTTATATAATAATATAATACAAGAGAAGTGTAATAATGCTGTCATATGAGGTGCCATGATCAATGGTAATAACTAGCATTGCATATATTTATAGCCAAAGAGCATGAGAGAAGATATTTATCCTATATGAACTGCATCATAACAAAAAACATTTTTAGTGTTTTCCTAATTTTGTACAAGTAATTAAAAAATTGTCCTTTAAACCTTTTTGAACACACAATTGCATTGGTTTTAACCATTTGTAGCCCCTCCTTTTAAATAACAAGTTTGTGAAAAAATAGTATTATCCAAAACAAGGTTTTTATAATTTATTTGTGTGTGTGTCTACTATGGGTTTCTCTCAAACATTTTTCTTGCATTCAGATGTATAATTTTGAAGGATTTGATTTAAAAATATTGAAGTCTCTATGATAAATGTGATTTGAAAATTGAAATGCCCCACTCAGAATGGGCTCCATCTACAGCAAGCAGTACTTCAACATCTAGACAATTCACTTAAATAAATAATCTCCTCACTGAATATGATGATCAGCCTTTGTTTTGGGTAAATATTCAATTAACCAACTTCCTATTGTCTTCACTTTTAACAGGTTGTGACATTTGAAGATAAATGTCTAGTCTTTTACTGAGAAAAACTTTGATTTTCTCAAATGTGTGGGGGCAGGTTCAACTTTAAAAACTCATCATTTTTGTTTCAACTCTAAGACATAAAAGTCTTTGGTGATCAATTAGCAGCGCTTACCTATTCACTTCCTCCCCTTCCCCAAGGGTAATAAGGAAGTCAAGAGTTTTAGTGATTAAAATATATTACTTTTTTGTACTCAATTCATCATTTAAAAAAAAAATCATTTCTAGTAGATCAGTATGACAAATGAGTAAACCAGAAGATGGCGTTGAAGATTAGCAGTCACATTTTAAAACCAAGTAGATTGGTAAAGTCTCAGTAAGTTTCATACAATGACTGTTGTTTTGAACTTCTAAAAGTAGATGAGTGAGGAAAATGTTGAAAGTAACTAAAACTGGTACAGAGGACACGTGTACGAAAGTGTGAAAAGCTATAGTTTGTCATTTTTGTTCTCAGCAATCTCCTGTCTGTTGTTTGTGAACACTTTGGGAAAAAATAATTCACTGATTAAAATGTAATGCAACATGAAAGCAGTGTCCTTCGCTTTGTTTTCTGATGTATTCCAAGTTCCTATTACAGTTCCTGACAAAGAGTAGGTGCTCAAAATAAGTTTGTTAAATGAATGCATCCGTGAAAGGACAAGAAAGGAAAAACACATTATGACCAGGATTTTCTTTGAACAAAACCCTGTTGTTTATTACATAGACTCTGATAATGGAAAACTTACTTGGGTGAATAAAAATGTCATCCTGTTAATTTCTCAGAAACTCCATTCGTTTTAGGAAAAGTGTACCTAATCTGTGTCTCACTGCCTGTTTTGCTCTAGCCCAAACGTAGTCTTTTCTTTGGGTTGCTGACACTGATCTACCATTGAGATTAAAAGAAAAACTGAGAAATAAGTGAAATCAAAAGCTTTTCAAAAGTTGTGAGTTGACCCAGGGTGATGGTGATCTAAAACCATATAGAAACCGGTGATCTGATGGTTTACCTTAAATTGCTAAGTAAATAAACATGCTGAGTATCTAAGATGCTGTGGTGAAAGTTTGGTAGGCAGGTGTTCAGGGAATTAATTTTGATATTAAGGACATCTTGGAAAATTAAGTAAAATTTCTGGTCCGCTTAAATATATTCCTATTTTGGACATTTATACTCCACTAGTAAGTTGCTTTCTACCAGGTCGATGTCAAAACTATGCCATTTTAAGGTGAACTGAAGTTCAGAAGCAATTAGCACTTGGATACTTCTCCCAATCTTTCATGTCAAAATTGTAATTTTGGGGTCTACGCATCGTCTCTCTGAGTCACCTCAATTCACCAGTTTAGTAGGTGCAAAAGCATGTAAGCATTTCAAACATGTAGACAGTATTTGAACCACAGTTCACAGCTCAAGAGATCTGGGCCATTTCCTTTTTTCTTTTTAATGGTATGATGTTCTCTAAACACTGCAGAGGGACAGCCAAAGATGTCCCCCCGCCCCCGCAAACACACAGTTAGTTCTTCCATACGGACAATTCTTGTCTTTGGTTACACGCTCTACAAGCGTAGTCCCCTTCGCACCAGATTCCCGCTCCTACCCGGCCGCCACTTCCAGCCCTAACCACATAGCTGTTGTTTAGCTGTTACTAGTTATCGACCGGCCTCCCGCAGGTCCTGGTTCAGAGGCGAGGTCCCTATTTCTCGCCTTGCCCTTCGCAGGAAACTACCGCGAGTGAGGGTCTCTGAGGCTATGCGTTCCAGACTCGAGCAACGCCAGCCTGTCGCAGCGCGAGGCGGATGGCAGAGAGAACCAGAGTCCCCAGCCTGGGGGCGGCAGACCCTCAAACACCCGCTCCACCAAGCTCATGAGCGGGGATTTGCCTGCGGGGCTCTCCACTCAGCACTCAGCGCTCCTCCCTGCCCCCCGCGGGCGCAACAGGCCCCGCCCCGCCTCAGGCTCCGCCTCCAGCGCGGCTTTTAAGCGCTATAAAAGTTCCTCTTTCCCACCTCTGAGTCTTAGTTTCACCACTTGAACTTGGGATCCACCGCTGCCCTCAGCTCCCAGTCGGAGGCAAGGTAAGACCTGTAGTCCAGCAGGAGTATAGATATGAGGTTGGCACGACAGAAACCGGAGCGCAAGACCAGAGGTCCCAGGGACCAACTCAAGGGCAGCGCAGGAGACCCCAACTTCGTAACCCGCAGGGAGCACGCCCCTTGAGGGAGCTTCGACTCCCACTCTGTCTGCTCAGGGCCCGAGGCCTTTGTTTGGGCTCTGTGGAGGGGCCCCTGGGCACTGCCCCAACATCTCTGAGGGCACTCTCCTCTCCCGTGTCCCCACCACTCTGTGGGTGCGGGGCGAGTACACACTGGACCAGATGGGAAAACAAGACTGTCAGGCCCTCTGGAGTGGCCGAGACGGGGCCGTGGAAGGGACCTACACTGGGCGGCAGGCTTTCCCGCAGGGGACATCCCCTTATTCCAGAGGCTCCTTCTGCTGCTGGGTCGTAAGAGGCCCAAACTCACCGCGGCCTCCGGCGCGTGGCTCCCTGGCTGGCAGTGGAGGAGGAAGAGCTCCAAATTTGGGCCACTGAGGCCTGCGCTCTGCTGCCTTAACCCCTCCGCGGTCCCTCGCCGTTCCTAGCACCCTCCCCGCCTCCGCTTCCCTTCGCAGGCCTCCAGGGTCTGGCTGAAGCTCCGCGCGGCTGAATATCCTGCTACTTGGATGCTGCGCTCAGCGACAAGGGCCGGGACACTGCCGCTTGTTGCTGCTAGCACTCACTTGATCATAGGTGGCGAGGGCTCAGGAGTATTCTTGGGACAAAGAGTGTGGGTGCGCGAGAAGGGCGGGAGAGGAGTTTCTGGGTGCTGAGTATCTGGAACACCCCAACTGCAGTCGTGCCCGCGTACAAGATTGGCGCGCGGGGGCCACCAAGGGAGTGTAAATTGGGGAGGGGG